CAGTTTGAACTTCTTATTTTCCTGTGACAGCAAGCAGCATAGGTGGGTCTTGTGGACCATGTTGCTCATGAGCCAACTGTTGAACATCACAGTTGAACAGTCTGAATAGGGCTAACTGAATTTTTTTCAGATCCTCTTCTCTCGCTTCCAAAGGCATCAGGTTAAGTGATGTTTTTCATGTTTGCAGTTCTCTTCTTTTTCCAGAATTTAGAAACCAGGGAATTGAGTTGGGCTTTGTCTTCCTGATTAATTATTCATCAAAAGGTAACTATATAAAGCTGCATGTAGTGTTATAAAAGCAGGCCGTAGCAGACTGCATTTAAAAATAAGCCTATAATTGTAGAAACAGAGAACAGAGTGGACTAATTCTTGGTGGGGGGGGGATAGCTCATTTGTAGTCACACAGTTCTTAATCCCTGATGTAGTTTTAAATATGCTTTCCCTTTTAACCTGAAAAATTATAATCATCATTTAGTTTCTGCAGTCATGTGTTCCTGTTGCGGTTGTCTTCAACTTCCTGTTGCATTCCTCGTGTTTTGTGTACATCAAGATTCTGGTTCTCAAAGTGACTCAGCATGGTGACATCTGGTTTGCGTGGAATTGAGGTCATTGAGGCTTGACATGGATACAAGGGTTCTGCCTTTATGAGTTTCCTGTATGATCAAGATCAAGGCAAACTGGGGAAGCGACTGTCTTTGATTGTACGGGCAACCCCCACTTAACACGGTTTCGCTTAGTGCTATTTCAGTATAGCACTCATTTTAAATGCATACCTGATTCGACTTAGCACTTTTTGAGTTTCGTTATAATGCTCTGGCGCGTGGTGCTAGAGCAGCCAGCAGGCAGACGGGGTGCAGAGAAGTGGCAGTGGCGGGTGGGACAATGGGGAAATAGTGGCTGCAGGCGGGGAGGTGAGTGGCAGCAGGAGGACGTGAATGTGAGGCGTGGAGCCCCTGCTGGTGTCCTGGGGCTAGGGCAGCGGCTGTGGCAGTTAAGAGAAGTGGCAAGTGGTAGCAAGTGGTTAGGCAGGCACGAGTGTGGGGCCCGTGCTGGGGGTGGGGGGGTGCAGAAGTGGCGGTGAGTGCCAGCAAGTTGGCCCTGAGCTACCAGGTAATGAATTATATTCATTTACATTCATTCCTGTGGGAAAATGGGTATTACTTAATGCTGTTCCGCTTAATGCTTGTTTTTTCTGGAACCAATTAAGAGCGCTAAGCAGGGGTTGCCTATATTTGTATTTATCCTAATTACTGGTCCTGGTAATGACTGGGTTTCTTTGGTGAACTATTAAATAGTTTCATAGTAGCCAGGGTCAGGAGGGACCTGAACAGATCATCTAGCCTGACCCCCTGCCCCAGGCAGGAATGAATGCTGGGTTCCCAAGACCCCAGACAGGTGAT